GATATTTTCAGGAGCCCTCAAGCTGCCATGTGGAGATGCCAGGAGCCCTCCATGCATCAAAGGTGAATTGCACGGGGACCTGCAATTCCCAGCTGGGGCGTGACATGGAGCAGGACAGGGTCCATGAGGGCTGAGGCAGCTTCTTCCCCCGAAGAGGGATCCAACTGAGAGAAGGTGACAGTGATCTGCCGTTCTCAGTCACTTTCCTCTGAGGTCACCGTGTCTCATGGTGGCTGACAGCTGTGGAGAAGGAGCGTACACAAAGAAAATAGCACAAAAGCATAAAGAATACCACCCTTAGTGTAACAGAAAGGAGAGGAATCAGAGGCGGTGGGGAGGCCAGGCTGGGGAGGGTGGTAGATGCAAGACGAGCAGCAAGGTGGATGTATGATCAGCAGCCCAGACCCTCCAACGAAGTCACTGAAGACCTGGAGGATGGGCGCTGAAGCCAGATTTCAGAGAGCTGAATGAGTGGGAGGGAACTGCAGTAGGGAGGGGTGTGGGCAGAGAGGTAGGTGAGGCGTCGGCAGCACCTGAGAAGGCAGGGAACATCTGGTTGGAGGAGCCATAAAGAAGGCGGTGGATGCGGGGGAGGCCAGTGGAGCCCCCTTCCCCATGTGGGGATTCTCACTCCCAAGATGGGAGGTAGCACTGAACGCAGTAACTGAGCAGCCTGGAGTTGGGCCTCGTGGCTGATTAGATGGGAAGTCTCAGGGACACTCGTCCTACAGCATCCTAGAGCATGGCTTTCTGCCTCCAGAGCAGGAACTCTGGACCCCGATGGGGGAGAGGCTACTAGAGGGTGTGAATGAGACACTAGTCGGAGGTGGCTGGGAGGAGGGGCAGGTGATCAGCTCCTGAGGGAGGGAAGGCGAGGTTCTCAGAGAAGCCGTGCCCCTCCCTGTGGTCCTGCAAAGCAGCAGGGACCAGGGAGGCGCGTGCCCATGGGCTGTAAAAACAGAGATCTGACCCTCCCCTCCGTCCCCCACAGCAATGACTAGGGCAGAGGATGACAGCGCTGGAGGGCAAGGGGCGAGGCGTGTGTGGGATGCACAGGATCCTCTTGTGCACCCGATGACTCCATCCAGGAAGCGCGGCCTGGAGTGGAGGGTGGAGGTGGGGATGCAGGGAGGACCTGCAAGGAAGCAGTTCTGTCCCTGGAGCACAGTCTCCAGGAGGGAAGCACCCAACGAGTTTTTAAGGTGCTTGTTGACATTCCAGCTGTGAAGGGAGCAGAGTGAAGCAGGACTTGAGACTTGGAGGCAAAGTCAGAGATGGCTCTCCAACCAGGATCTGGGCCCTCCGTGCCCCTCAGCCCTCTCCCCTGCCCTGGAATCAGGTTAAGCCCCCTGGCAACATTCACCTGATATGAATCAAATGGGCAAAGCAGCACATATGACGGGAGGCAGATTTTTCTTGAGACCCACCACCCGCAGCTTGCAGTTCTCGAAGAGAACCACTCAGAGGGGTGAGAACCCTTCTAGAGGTGTGCTGCCAGTGGCTTATATGGTGTTCAGTGAGGTCATGCTGGTGGCTTAAAATTATTGGGGTGAAGGTATTCCCACCACGGAAATGGGCAGACGCTGTAAGTCAGGGTTCCCCCCCACCGCCGCCCAGAGATCCTCTTGTTATACGATTACCAACATGTCAGCCCAGGTCGGACTGCTCTCACCTGACCCTGGCTCTCCCCACAGTGAATGGAAAGGCCACGGTCACCATCGAGAGCTGTGCTCCGACACAGTTCATGTTCATGCTCAATGGCAAGCAGGAGCACGGGCTGCTGAGCCTCCGGAAGAACGGGATGAAGCTGGACGTGTACCCCCCGACCGCGGGCGACCACAAGCTGCAGATCTTTGCCAAGGGCAACTCGGAGATCTACAGCTCCGTGCTGGAGTACACGCTCAAGTGCCACTATGCAGACATGGACGTCCAGCTGCCGGCTGAGTTGCACCAGCCCGTGGGCCCCAGCTGGTTCTCGGAGCAGATGGGCATCACCAAGCCATCCCACACCGAGCCTGTCATCTACACCAGTGACGGGCGCTGCTCTGTCAGCTTCGGTGTGGAGGAGGGTATCAGCGTCCTGGCTTCGCTGCATGGAGACGATGGCCCCGTCACCGAGGAGACCCAGCGACGCTACATCTTCCAGCTGCACCGGGAGAAGCGGACGGAGCTAAAGGTGCAGCTGCCCCACGCCGGCAAGTTTGCACTCAAGATCTTCGTCAAAAAGAGGCAGGAACCAGGCAACTACCTTTTCGTCTTCAATTACCTCATTTGCTGTACCAACACCAAGGTGAACTGGCCCGTGTTCCCCGAGAGCTTTGGCAACTGGGGGGTGGACAATGAGCTGCTGGAGCCACTGTCAGGCGTGCTGCCCGCCAACCGCAACGTCCTGTTCAAACTGAAGCTGCACGGCATCGCCAAAGCCCTGGTGAAGGGGCAGGACACGTGGCCACTGACCCTGAGCCCCGAGGGCTACTGGGAGGGCAGCTGCAGCACCGCAGGCTGCCGGGAGGTATACGTCATGGTGCTGGAGAATGCCAACCACAGCTTCTACTCCTACATCCTCAAGTACCAGGTCAACGCCCAGTGAGGGCCGCCTGCCACCCCCACCCCTGCCGGGCCGCGCCCAGAGCCCGGACACCACTGAGTCTGCATGGAATCCCTTCTGGACCTCTGCCTCGTGTTCCTGCTCCGCCGGAGGCTGCGATGTCAGTGGCCAAGGGGACAGAGGCAAAGGCCCTTTAGACGACAAAGGTGCTATGTAAATCCAAGGTATTGTAACTGTACTCACTGCCCAGACACCCCCCCTTCTCGTGCTGTCCTTGTTATTCTCAGGCTGGTGTGGGCATGCCGCCCGGGGCCAAACACCTTTCCCGTGATGGGGAGAGAGAAGCGGGCGTGATCCGTGAGGCTGAGTCATCCTGAGTTCTCGAGCCCCTTCCCAGGAGCTGCACAGAGCTTCTCACCAACTCTCGGACCCCAGGGGAGGTCAGACTGTCATCTTCTTTCCAGACCTGACCATCTCCTGCATTCCCAATGCTGCTGCTTATTCTTCCAAGTCCTGAGAAGGAAGGTGCAGAGAGGAAGCTAACTGCCCCCCAACTAGCCCGGGGGCCAAGGGCCTCCACAATCCCTGTGTGTGCCTGAAATGTGGCAATAGAATCGTCACCGGAGACTTCAGGGCCGAGAGTAGCCAGTGCCTGCTCTTGTTGTTCTGGGTGGGGGCCAGAGAGGCAGGGATATATGGCAGTCCCGCCACGCTAGTCTCAGGATGTAAGACCCCGACTCTGCTCTCAGAGGGATTAATTCCATCTATTTGGTCTATCAGCAGTTCACTCAGTCCCTGCAGGCCTTCTCAGAGCCTGTACCTCAGGCCCCAACCTGAAACCCACACTGGGAACCCCAGGAGGCTTCTGGGCCCATGGGGACCCCTGGAAATAATCCTCAATAAAGACTTCAGGTGCAGTAGTAAGAACGCTGCAGTGCTGGGGACCCCCACGATAGCAGGGTCCCACCAGCCCCAAGATCTCTACCACCACTGCCATACCTGGGGGACCTCGACCTGCCCTGGGAGCAATTTCTATCCCATGTCCCTTCCTTCCTCTCAAGAGAGACCCCAAGGGTCTGCCTTCTGTAGGGACCCATCCAGAGCTCCTTGCTTGCTCAGGCCTGAGAAGTCTAGCCTGCCCAGCCAGCCCTTAGCAGCACCTCAGGCCAGTGTTGCCATGGCAACAGAAGAAAGACTGGCTCCAATGAGGGCGGCAGGCGGGAAGGATGGAGAGGCCCTGAGAGGCCCTGCAGAGCCGCTGCAGCACCATCCCAGCACATGGAGAGGTTGCAGGTGATCTCACCTGCCGCCCTGGTTTCTTCAGCCCTGCAGCCCTGCCTACCAGGGCCTGGGCCCGGAAGAGCCAGCACTGCCCAGTACTCCCCTCCCTGCACTGCCACTCCGGATGCCCTGGGCTAGCTACGGCCAAAGCTGCTGGGGATCCTCACGGCCTCCTTGCCTTCATCCTCACATTTGTGTATTCAACGAATGTTCGTGGAGCACTTAACCAGGTACTGTGTCAGCCGATCCTTCGTGCTGGGGCTGCAGTCCTTCTCCAGCCGTCCCAGAGCAAGGGTGGCAGCCGCCGTCCTTGCCCAAGCCTGTTTCAAATTCCAGGCTCCAAACACTCCAGTCCGTCATCTCCCTAAGTTCCCTCCCCACAAAGAGCCCCACCACCCCCAGCGTGGACCCGGTCCAGAGGAATGTCTCAGGGGGCCCATCCTCCGCCAGGCCAGGGGCCCTGGGACGGGAGGGCAGTACACCACGGTGGGCTGAGCTGCTCTGGCCCGTGTCCAGCGTCCGCTGGCAGGCTCTGCCACCCAGGCATTCAGCACTGTGTCACTCACGCCTGGAAAATGCACAAAGGCTGCAGAGGCGGAACCGCTGTGCACCACGACAGGGAAACAAGAGGAGTTTTTACACCCTGGAAACAGCCTTTTCTCACCCCTTTGATTTTATGGGCTGAAAGAAATGTGCTGTGTTTCATCAAAATAATAAGTGCCTTCTATGACTCATGTCACTCACTGGACCCAGAGCTGGCTGCGAGTCCTGCTGGGAGCAACTTGCATCCTCTACAAAACAATATAATTAGTCTATACATTCTGGAGCACACAAAGGATGCCACCCAGCAAAACAGGAGCTGTCCCAAGCAGGAGACGGTGGCCCAGCCTCTCCAAGCGCCTGGGAGCGTCAGTAACCCCTCCCTGTTCATTTAACCAGGCGCCCCCCCCCACCCCGCCCGCCTCCCCGCCCCACTCCTTGTAAAGACAGCTGTAGGCACAGACAACACCTGCATTTCTTTCCACTAAAGTAAAAATACATGAAATGAAATCCAATCTTCATGAATTTTTACACGCATGTTGCTCAGGGTAGAATTCGGGGTTGCATTTTGAAGTCTTTTATTCAAATCCCCATCTTTGTTTCCCGATCGAGGCGTTCTACGGCCAGTGGAATGGCACGGGCGCCCCCTGCTGTCCGATATGCGGAGCTGCAGGTGCTGCAAACTCCCGTGAGGCTGGGGTTTTTATGCAGCATTTGAAAAAAATGCGGCAGGGATGTTTATATTAAATTCACTGAGGGCCTTCTCGTGGCTTCTCAGAGTTTTCTCATGTATACGTGGGGCACGTCGTTTCCACACAAGTTGTGAGGCGAGGCAAGGGAACAGCCTGGCATGGTGCGAAGAACCATGGCATGGTGCGAAGAACATGATAACGGTTTGAAAATATTTTACCCGGAAATCGGGTAGAAGTGGATGGGACAGTTCAACCACATTCATTACTACGTCAGTGAAAAATTGGAACTGATCGAACTCAGAAAGCCTTTGCTGCAAGTCCTAGGATGGCAGCCCTCAAGCCACAGAAGGGCATAGAGGGTCGGGGAGGGTGGGGGAGTGGGAAATTGGCGACAACCACAACTGCAATTAACTTTTGTTCGCTTGTTTTGGAAGCGCCACCAGCGCAGTTGGACTCTGCCTTCAATCTGATTGTGATCATTGTGTGTTCCCCATATGTTACATTGTCCCACCAGGACAAACCCCTGACAGCCTGCTGAGATTAAGAGGAAATAAATAGATTAACTGAAGCATGAAGGATTTAGGCTAGACATAAAGAAGTACTTCCTGTTGTTAAGCAGGAGGGACAGGTTGCCAAGAAAGTTTGTGAAATCCTCTTCTCAAACGACTGGAAAAGTAGAAAAATTTTCTCAGTGGTCTGGGGTCTTCGCTGCCATGCTAACCAGTTCTTTCCAAACGAGTTTAATTCTTGAAATACACTGGATCACCCACAGCAAACGGGGGACCGAATAGTACGGTAGCGTCCTTTGCTGTTGGCAAAGCTTTCAGAGGCGAGAGGTGGTGTGCATCTGCGTCCCCCATCAGTTTATCCGAGGTCGATCATTTCTTTTCATTTGGATGCATAGTTGGAGCTTTGAAGAGGTTATTACTTTTCATAACGTGTGCATTGAGTTGTGTGGGCCACTGGCTGTTAGGTATGCTTTCCCCTCATTGTTGCTGGTGTTGTTTTTCAATAAAATTTATATTCATTTTTACCCAACAATGTAATTATCGATCCATTCTTATCACTGTTCTCACAAGCAGGAGAAAGAAAAAAAAAAAAAAACACTTTCATGTTCAAAGGGAATGTTAGGAAAAAAAAATCAATGTCCCAGCTATTTGAATGTGATGGTGAGATGCAAATAGAATGTCAGGCAAATAGCTATTTCACATTAAAGGAAACATAATTAGGTTAGCTCCAGCCCCTCTCCGGCTCACATGCCTTTGAAGAACATGAAGGCAGTGAATCTTGTTTAACTTGAAAATTTTTAAGTTGATCCTAATTTCTATTTTTAATGGGAGAAAAAAAAAGTGTTCCAAAAATGCCCATCAGCCTACTTTTTGTTGTTGTTGGGAATATATATAAATATATATTCCTTGATATTCATACATTTGTAGAAACTTTCCAGCAGGTTACCTAAACAGATTATTCATAAATTAGACATTTAGGGAAATATAGCAAATGGAAATCTAGACACCTCTGAGAAGCTGCTGTAACCATGGAGACCATTCTTGTAGCTGTCGTGTGAAGGACAAAAAGAATTCGTGTTCCCAAATTTGGCCTTTGTTGCGCTCCTCACTGCTAGACCCACAAACATGAGCCTGAGCATGCTTCTCCTTACCAAGGATTCCACTAGTGACCCATATCTTTAACAGCATGTTAAGGGGAAGTCCGAAGAAACAGTCTCCAAATAATAGAAGGAAGAACTCTCAAGCTATTAGAACAGTCTGAAAGTGCCAGCTCTGAGGCTGCCGTGGATGACCTCTAAAGTCCCTTCCAGTCCGGAGAGTTTGTGATGCTGTGTCTCCGTGAACAGATGCCGGCGGGCGGTAGGTCTGAGATTGTCAGTGGCGGAGCATCTAAAGGGCCCTGCTGTGTTAAGAGCCTGCCCTGTAGCCCCCACCAGACTGCGCGGCTGGCTCCTTTCTTGCCCGAGGGCAAGGGGCTGGAGGAAACCCAGCAGAGGGACCAAAGGGGAAGCCGCAGCCTCTGACAGGATGTTGCTTCTCTCTGATTTTGCGAACAGAACTAAAGAAAACCAAGAGACAGGCAGCAACTGGGATGCCCCCTCTTGGATGCCCTGCCAGCCTCCCTGAGTCAAAAGACACTGAAACCAGATCACTTCTCTCCCCCAGATTACCTCTGACTCCTCCTGGACTGCCAACACAGTAAATGTACCCCCATGCCCAAAGTCAGACTCATGGTGGCCACTACTGACTCCTGCATCCCTTGCGGTGAGAAGTCTGGTCCATTCTGCCATGTTCCATATTTGACCTGCTCCTCCAACTCCATGTCCACCCCACTCCAAAGCCTTCCATCGTTCAGGCCCTCCTCATCTCCCAGGGATACATGTGATTGCTTCCTATAACAACAAAAAGCATCAACACTTTTACTGGCAAAGTCTGAATACTTTCAGGGCTGTCTTCAGGAGGGTTGATGTCTCAGGAAACAATGGTCCAGTGAACACTCAGAGCTCCTGGTTCTTTAAGCATCATTGTCCCCAAGGCTAATCCTCTCAAGAAAAGTGCCTGCAGGATGAGACATAAAAGAGACAAAATGCCTTCAAGGTCCTTGTGTACCAGTGGCAAAACTGAGACATGAGGGTTTGAGAATGAATGAGAAGGAAACCTGGACTTAAAACAGCTCTCCAGATGTGTGGTCATTGCTACCTGGGGCACCGGGTTAAGGAATCTGAGGTCACAGTGGGCTCAGTAGAAAAGAGCACTATGATTAGCTGGTGATCCATAGATACTGGACTGAAGGGTGTGGTGTGCTATGCACTTGCCGAGTCTGACTAAAAGGAAGGCAAACCCAAGCTAAGACCAAGTGACACAGGAGATTATTCAGACCAGTGAGTGGGTGCTGGCTTCCCAGCAAAGTCGCCCACTGACAGACAGCCAGGCAGCTCCCACCATAGGCGCAAGGATGCTCTAGAGGCGTCCTGACAGCCTCTGGGATTCAGGAGGAGCCCACCCAACCCACCGCATGGAGCACCCAAATGCATAGCGCTCCAGGAAGAATCAGGCACCCTGAGCTTGTATGCCTTTTCATCTCATAATGAAACGATACCTTGCATTTAGACTAAACGATTGCTATGTGTGCAAAGTGAACATCAATTGTTCTTTCCAAAACAAAATTCTAGACCATCGGCTTTATTTACAGCATTGTTGACCCAAGAGATTTCTTTTTCCAACTAACTAAAAAGTATACGCAACGAGTGCCTTTGCCTCTGTGGGAAATGTGGGTTTACAGGAAGACAAAGATTGCCACCTGGCTGTGCGCACTCCTGGTGTTCACCTCCAGGAAGCAATCAGGGAACTGATTGATCTGAGGAGTGCCCTTCTTCCTGGGGGGCCTGCTGCCCTCAGCTTGCTCTGGGATTGCTTTCTTTCTATCAGGGGGACGGCTGACTGCCTCCATGACACAAAGAATCAGCCATCATTTCACCCTGGCTGTGCGGGGGCCAGGTAGGGACTCCCCACTCCAGACTGGTGGGGAGGACGGAGGGGAGGTTTGTGCTATGAGGGCAGAGGGGCAGCCACACCGTGAATGGCCAAGAAGAACTGGTGCACGTGATTAATGGAGAACAGATGCCTGGAGTGAGGGGCCCCTGGCAGCTCCCATATGGACAGAGCGGTGATGGAGGAGGAAAGTGTATATAGAAGAAATGACTGCGGGATGACAAATTGTCTGGTGAACACTCTGCTGATATGTATTAATATGTGTATTAGTGTGTATGTGAATACCAAGTGAAATCTGAAAGTTAACATTGATCATTTCATCATATTACAAAAAATTAAATGTAGCCAAGATACCACAGGCCTTTGGAGGCTGCCCCTGACTCCATCCTGTGTGGTCATCCCACCCTTAGGACTGGGGTGGATGTGGATGCCATGAACCTTTTCATGTCTGTTTCATCCACACCAGACCCTTTCCCCACCTCCCAGGAGAAACAACAGAGAGAACCTGATCCCATGAGAAGATCGCCTCTGTAAAAGCTTCACTCGTCATTTTTAGAGCTCAGCAATAGTGTTCAAAGTCCATTTTAAAAAGAAGCCAATGGGCTTCTTCCTAGAAAGGTGACCTCTTAGCCACTGCTCACTGATGACTGAAAGCTGTCATGTGAGGTCAAGAGCCACAAATGCAGGATTGAAGCCTTGGTTTCTCTCTGTAAACCTTGGCTTGACTGGGGGCTCCCCAGAGATCCCTTCCAGCAGAGCTCCCAAGGCTGGGGGAGGCCTGCAACCCAGACCCGTGGATGACATCTGGATGGTACAAGAGTTAAAGGCACCAACTCTGCAGTTAGCCACTGGGATTCCATCCCCGCCCGGCCCCCTACCACTGCTGTTGGCAAGTTAGTGAGCATCCCATCTCCATGTCCTCAGCAGTAAAATGGGGGTAATCATAGCACCCACCATGTAAGCTTCTTGTGGGGTTTGAATGAGTGAACAAGGGTACAATAAACAAAGTCCCAGCACTAGAAGGCACTCAGTGAGGCTCAGCTGTCATCACCACAACAGTCTTCCCCAGGCCTTGTGAAGATACTGACCTGTTGCGTGTTGTTCCCTGAAGAATCTGAAGGTCGCAGGCCGCTCATAAAATCATACCAGCCCCTGACCTAATAAAGAAGAAATCCTGTCTCCAACTGTTGGCCACCCTGCCTCTCCTAGAATTGTCCAGAGACTGGGAGTTCAGCTAGGCAGCTATTACTTTATTGGCACCTCCCTGAAGGATGCCTTCATTGAGAACAGTTGGCCAGTCTGCACACTGGCTGGGGAACATATCTGTTACATTCCAGGACCACCATGTAGCAGGAACCCTGAGCCCCCAATGCAAGACCCATCTGAAGCACCCAACCCCACTCTCCCTTCCCCACCTCCTGCTTCAGACAGAAGGGTGGAAATTCTCCCCTTCTCTCAGTAACATTTAGTAAACTTTTGTAGACCCTTGAGTATCTTTTATCATATGTATTTCTAGATATGCACGGATGTATTTTTCATGATGCAGTAAATGGTATCAATTTTTAAGTTCATTTTCTACTGTTTTTTCTTAGCGCATAGAAACACTATATTTTACCTGAAATTTTAGTACCTGAAATCATGCAGTGTGTTCTTGGTGAATGTGTACAAATACAAAGATTATGGTTGTGAAATGTTAACACCATTCATGAAATTAGAAGGGCCACAGACGTTTTCAGCAATCTGTTATGTTGAGTAAGTTTTAAAACATATATGATGAAATGCTGGCATTTGTTAAATACAGGGGGAAATGAACCATCCATGTCACCATCTTTGCCAAACTCAGATCATGAAGATCCTCTCCTGTTTTCTTCTAGAGGTTTTATCTCTTAGTGGAAGTCACTCTGTTCTATGATCTCTGTTCTCTCAGGGGGATGGAAGGAGCATGTGGCAGCCAGCCAGCTGCTGTGGCATCAGTGTCCCTTGGAGCCCTGCAGGCAAGGGAAGACGGCCTGTCCTCCTGCGGTCCTACCCACCCCCTGTCCTGGGGGCCTTGGCTGTGGTGACGGACCCTGGCCCCAGGTCAGCCTTATCACTGCCCACTGGTGTGGGCAGAGTTTGCAAACTTTACTGATCAGCCTGGACAGTGTTAGTTGATGCCAACATTTAAAAATCAATGGACTTCCCTGGGGGTCCAGTGGTTAAGACTTCACTTTCCAATGCAGGGGGGTGCCAGTTCCATCCCTGGTCAAGGAGCTAGGATCCCACATGCCTCATGACCAAAAAGTCAAAGCATAAAACAGAAGCAATATTGTTACAAAATTCAGTAAAGACTTTTAAATGGTCCACATCAAAAAAATCATTTAAAATTTAAAAAAATAAAATAGCATTTAAAGGACTTGTCTGGTGGTCCAGTGGCTAAGACTCTGAGCTCCCAATGCAGGGACCCAGGTTTGATTCCTGGTCAGGGAACTAGATCCCACATGCTGCAACTAGAGGCCCTGCATGCCGCAGCAAAGATCCTGACTCCCACCACCAAGACTCAGCACAGCCAAATAAATTAATATTAAATAAATAAATAAATAAATAAATAAAGTAAAAAATTTTAAATAAATAAAGTAAAAATTTTTAAATAAATAAAGTAAAAAATCAGAAAAATCCCATCAAAATCTGATTGACAACCTTTCCCGAGAAGCCTGTGAAAACCTCCGCAAGGAAGCGAGCTGCAGTTGGACAGGCCAGCTACCCAGGTGCCCCACGCCTCTCCCTCTGACTGTCTCCCAGACCCTAAGGCCACCCGCCCCTGAATAGATGCTTTCCTACAGCTGCCCTCTACAGTGATGGGTATTGCCTGTGAGGTCCCATCTACAGCTTTTTGATTCTCTTCCCTATTCAGCATCTCACCTGGCCTCACGACAGCCTCGCTGAGTGAGTATCAGAGTCTACATTCTGCATATGAAGAAACTGCCCAAGGGTGTACAGCTGCTAAGTGGAGAGCTGGCTTTGAGGCTTCCCTCTCTGCTCTCAGACTCATTTCACTCAGCCCATTGCCCTGGGCACTGGGGCCTGTCTTTACGCATTGACGATGTAAATTGCTAAGGGCACAGGTGTGTTACTAGACCCTCTGAGCACACTTGTCAGAGGTTCTGGGAGCAAGAAGGGAGCTGGGGTCTGTGTCGCCAGCATCCTCAGGGAATTGCAGGAGCTCAGGCTGCAAAGATGAGGAGTTTGCTTGATTAAATATTTGATGAATGAATTAATAAATGGATGAACTGTCATCCGAGTAGCCCACATACATTTAACCATTAATCAAAACACATTTTAGCTGCAGAAATATTTTAACTCAGGCGTAAAGGAAGGGGAGGAAGGGTTGCCTACAAGGCACCCACTCCAGACCCTCCCTCACCACCAAGGTCCTTTCTCCTCATTTAAGGGAGGACTTTTCAGGAAAAGCATAGACAATAATATGCACACAACCCTCTGGGGTAAACTGGAAAGGATTTAAGGGTGTCTATTTGAGACAAAACTGATTACA